TCCTCAGGTCGTAGTGTTTTTGCTGTTTTTCGAATGCCCTGGCTAATTGTATTTGCACTAGTTTGTATGCGTCTTGCAGCTGCTGTTGCAGCTCCTTTGGTGTCGGTGCCGTGTCGTCGCTGTAGTCCGTATTTACTGGTGGTGCTAGCTCTCGGCCGTGGTTTAGATACGCTGGAGTGTATCCTGTGGCGTTGTGTACTGCCGTGTTATAGGCAAACTGTAGTGCTGTTATCCTTGCATCCCAGTTACTTTGATCTTTGCCTGTGAATTGTGCTACCATTGTTTTTATTGTTCTATTGGTTCTTTCTACCGGGTTGCAGTGGGGGGCGTAGGCAGGTGTCGTGATGTGTTTGATTTTGCATTCTTGCAGTCTCTGTTCCAGTTGTTTCGACTTGAATTGAGTGCCATTATCTGAGAGAATACTGTCCGGTTTTCCGTGCCTTAATATGATGCGATCGGTGACTGCTTGCGTTACTGCATCCGCTGTTGCTTTTCTGAGTGGAACCAATTCGACCCACTTTGAAAATCGATCCTGCATTACTAGCAGCCAGGAGTTCCCTTTCTTCGACCTTGGTAGTGGTCCGATTAGGTCTATATTGACTTTCTCCCACGGCCTTCTTACTTCTGTCGCGTGGAGTTTCCCTGCGGGTCTTTGCTGTACAACCTTATGCGTTTGACAGTTCTCGCACTTCCGCACCTGTTTCGTTATGTCGCGGAACATTCCTGGCCAGTAATACTTTTCTGCTATTCTCGCAATAGTTTTGGCTATTCCAAAGTGTCCTGCGGTTGGTTCGTTGTGGTACGTTCTTATCACCTTCTCCCGGATTGGTGTCGGGATGCACAGCTTCCATTGAGTTTGTGTGTTGTTTTCCTTGAAATCCAGCGAGTGGAGGATATGCCGGTATAGTTTGCCGTTTGTTATTTTGTATTCCGGCCTTGCTGTTGGATTTTTTTGTACTTCGTCTCGGATACGTTGATACCATGCGCAGCCCTGTTTCCTTACGGCCGCTACTCCCGGGTGTCTTGACAGGGCGTCCGCTACGCGATTCAGTGTTCCCCGTCGATATTTTATTTCGAACTCATATTGCTGGAGTTCGAACATCCAGCGTGCCAGTCTGCCGGTAGGTGCTTCTATTCTTTGTAACCATTTTAGTGTTTGGTGATCCGTGATGACCGTGAATTTGTATCCTTCCAAATAACTCTTCATTTTCCGGATGCCCCATACTACTGCAAGACATTCTAACTCTGTTGCGCTGTAGTTCTGTTCCGCCTTGTTCAACGTGCGGCTCGCATACGCTACCACTTTTTCGCCGTCGTTGTACATTTGTGTCAGCACTGCGCCTAAACCATACGTGCTGGCGTCCGTCTGTAATAGGAATTCTCGTGTGAAGTCCGGACATGCTAGTATGGGCGCTGATACTAGTTTTTCTTTTAATCTTTTAAATGCTTCGCTCTGTTCTTCCCCCCACGACCACCTTGCGTTTTTCCGTGTTAGTTTAGTTAAAGGCGCCGCGATCTCTGAGAACCCCGCGATGAACCGCCGATACCACGAGGCCATCCCAACGAATTGTCTAATCTGTTTAACTGTACGCGGTTCCGGCCAGTCTACTACCGCGCTTATTTTTTCTGGGTCAGTTCGAATACCTTGTCGGTCTATAATGTGTCCCAGATATTTCAGCTGGTCTACACAAAATTTGCATTTGTCAGGATTCAGACGGAGGTGCGCTTCACGAAGGCGTTCGAATGTTTCCGCTAGTAACTCGAGGTGTTCCTCGAACGTCTTGCTGATCACGATAATATCATCCAGATATACAAATACGTTTGGTTCTAATTCGGGTCCTAAAATCGTGTCTAGCAGTCTTTGAAAAGTTGCTGGCGCGGAATGCAGGCCGAATGGCATTACTTTAAATTGAAATAATCCTCTGCCCGGAATCGTGAAAGCTGTTATTGGCCTGCTTTCTTTGGTCAATGGTACTTGCCAATACCCGTTTTTAAGGTCTAATGTTGACAGATATCTGGCCCCTCTCAGTTTGTCCAATGTTGCCGTTATTTGTGGTAGCGGGTATGCGTCTTTTATCGTTACCTCGTTCACCCGCCGGAAATCGATGCAGAACCGGTGTTTTCCGTCCTTCTTTTTCACAATGACTATTGGCGAGCTCCACGGACTGTGTGATGGTTCGACTATATCTTGTTGTATCATTTCGTCTACTTCCTTGTCTATAATTGCTTGCATTACTGGGTTTCTTGGCCGATATCTTTGTTTAATTGGTCTTTCGTCCCTCAGTCGTATCTCGTGTTGTACCTTGTCTGTCCGTCCTCGTACAGCTTTGAACCGTTTAAATTCGTCCGTCAGAAATTTCTCCAGTCGATTTTTTTCTTTCGGTGTTTGCTTGACTAACCCGGTCGCGTAGCACTTGTCTCCCTTCTTCCCTAGGTGTCGTGGTGGCGGTGGTACGCCTATCTGGAATTCTGCCTGTCCGTCTATCCCTAAGATCACATCGTCTTCTAAGTCCGGGAGGATGGTAAAAATGTGGGCCGTCGTATGGTTCCCCAGGCTCGTTTGTATTTTCATTGTTCCTAGCGTTAATCGTGTTGACCCATCTGCCAAAAGAATTTCGGTCTTATCTTCTTGGATCGTTCCTCCATCTTCAATGAGGATCTCTGCCGTGCGAGGGCTGATTAAGGAGATCTCCGACCCCCCGTCTAATAATGCGTTAAATTCTTGTTTGTGTAATTTAATTACTGTGTATGGACGTGGTGTGAATTTTATATGGGGCTCGGAGTGATTTTTGCGTCCATTTTCCCTCCGTCCCCCTTGTCGTTTCCCGACCATGGATGGCATTCTCTTGTCCATACTCCGTCGCGTCCGCATTGCGAGCAAAATTTTTGTGCTGGTCTTTTGCACTGAGCGCGTGTGTGTCCCCGCTGTTTACAACGCCAGCAGCACTCCTTTTTATTGTAGATTGACGCTACGGCGGAAACTGCCTGTTTCTCGTGTTTCGCTGTTTCTCTTTGCTCCGCTATAATGTCTTCATATTCCGAGGCGCGTCCTTGTAATTCCGCAATGCTTCTGATATCATCTATCCGAACGTAATATTTGTATGCTGGATTCATATTATCGTAAATCAGCTCGAGTTGTTCCTCGCGGGTGTATCCGCCCGCCCTGCGCATTAGTGTCATCATACCCGTGACATATTGTGCAAATTTCTCGCCCGTTTTTTGCCGTTTCCCTAAGATTTCTCGTCTCAGGGCTGCCGCGTATCGGCGTGGCAAAAATTGCTGACGGAAGTCGCGTTCGAAATCCTCCCACGTGTCCCATGTATCGCGTAAATTTCGGAACCACGCTAATGCCTCTCCTCGTAGGAGTTCTGGGAGTCCTTTCAATAATTGCGCTTTCGTGAATGTATATGCTTCCCTTAGTTCCCCCACCCTCTCTAGAAAGGCCGCAGGGTCTTTTCCGTCAAAATGACAGCCCCATTTTCGTATTTGGTTCATACTCTTTCCATCCGGTAAAATATTCTCGAATGGTCCTGCCGCGGAGGGTGTCCGGTATCCCTCGTTTCCGGGTGTGGTTACTGTTACTTGCATCGGTACTTGAAGTTGTGCGCTATTCTGCCCTACCCGAGTCTCAAATTCGTTGGGATGCTCCTCTGAATACGGACCGATTCGCCTACGTAATTCTTCGAAAGATCCGGTGTCGTCTATCTCTAATTTTTGCGCCATTGCTATCAATTGTTCCTTATTTAATTGATATACCCACGCTTTCATCCTTGTTCTTGCCTCTTATAAAACCTGTTCGGGCGCCAATGTAACGGGCGTTTTTTTTGCTCGTGTCGCGGATAACTGTAGTCGTAAGTTCCAAGGAACGAGTTAGGCAAGCGTGAATTAAACGTGCGTACTTTTGAATTTTAATAAGTAGTTTATTATAAAAAAAATGATTTACAGAAAGACAAGAAAAGAAACAAAAAAAAAATGAAATACGAGAGTATGCGTGGGTGGATATGTATGCGCAACTGCACGTAGCCGTATGTGTTCGGCGGATTAGAATCGCTGTCGGCGAAGATAAGACTGATTACATACAAAAGAAAACGTGTGACGCCGGGCGCAAAACTCGCCGTAAACTGTTAGGGCCTCGCTAGATTGAATGCACCTCTCGGTTTTCGCGTTGCGGTGGTCGTGGTTCTGTTTAAGTAGATTTATGCAGTGTAGTCGTAACGTTTCCGGTAATCGGAGTACGGAGGACGGTGCACCCGCGGGTGCAATTCTGATCGCCGTCGGAGTGGGCGTCTTCTTAATTTAACGGTGAGAATTTGATCGCGTTTGTATTTACATGCGGCGAGGGCAATGACCGCGTGACGTGTTGGCGCGTATGTTGACGATTCGTTTCCTCGATATGATTTTTGCTCTCGTGGAACTTCCGTGTACGTTTTCTCGCCACGGGTAATTCGCTGGGAATTTCGGGATTTAGCCGGCGTTTTGGCGGGAACGTCCGCCGGGGGCAGCTCTCCTCTCTGCCTCCTGTTGTGCTGGCTGGATACGGATGGAGTGCGAGGTATGCGCGTGTCCGAGAAATCCCGGATAAATCGGGGTACTCCCCAATCTGATGCACGCTTGCAATACAGGATGCGCTCGGCTGGTGAGATCTGAGGAACTCCTCGTTGTGGCGGGGTACGCCCCACCGCGTTGTCTCCTTAGCCTTAAGAACGCTTTCTAGGTTTCCTTGCTAACTCTTGTCGATTGCTCGCGTTGAGAAGCTTGGAGGAAAAAGGTGCCTAGATCGTCTCGGCAGGCCTTTTTATACCGGCCTAATTAGTTGGCGCCGGCGTGCCTCGTGGTTTCCCCCACCGAACGGGTTGAAAATTCGGCGTTTCGTTCGTGGAGCGAGGGGCGCCGGGCGCGGGGGGAACCCGGCCCGTTCGCTCGGGATTCGTCGGCCGATGTCGGCGCACTTCGCCTCCCAACGGCAATTAAAATTAACGCCGTTAGACAAAAGTCTCAAAATGTGGTGCAAAGCACCCTGCCCTTGCCCGGCGGGTGTTCTGCCGGGCGGCAGCTTCCAGCGATCATCGGCTGGGCATGGTTAGGGGGTGCAAGGGTGCATTGTTATAGTTTTTACATTTTTCTTTTATATCTTTTCCAAAATACATATAATAGAACTTTATTTTTATATTTATTTTAAGCATTTTTTATATTTCTTTCGTATATTTTACATTTTTTTACATAGTCTATAATTTATTTATTTCTTTTTTACATTTTCACATGTTTACTCTTCTATATCAATTCTATATACTTAACCTATAATAACCTTAACAATACAAATATGGCGACTATTGACAGCATTTTAAGCTAGAATGAGAAAGTAGTAGACGCAAAACAACTATCTCTCTCGCAAACTGCCAACTTCTGGCTTCACTTTTTAGAGAGAATGCTTGGTCTATATATATATGTCGTTGTATAGCACACATTTTTCATAAGACATAACAGTAAGGTTTCGACCAATCGCATTGCTCAATTTGGTTAAGCCTTTCGCATATGAATTGCCACAACCATAAACATAAAACGTAAACGTAAGCTGAAGAATCAATCAGAATCTTGCTTTAGTTTTATGTATTCTAGAAGACGATAGAAATGATGATAAAGTTAGCCGTAAGCAGAAGTAACTAGGATTTTAACCGGTTGAAATCCTAGCGTGGCCACCCCCTTTTATCTTTTAAACTAAAAGAGATAGACCGTAACAAATATATATGAAATTAAATGGCTTGAACGGAACTTTATTGTGAGTATAGTGATTGATTACAAAATTTATCTGTATTGAAGAACGGAGAGATATGCATAATTTTTTTATAATAATGTAGATATTTTGATATAATAAAAGTTATAGCGCTGTTTGAAACGAATATAACAATGTATGATTTAAATATTTTACATATTATACGAGATTTTCCGGCTTGAAATATCGCGGGCGATGTCCACCATTTCATTTTCGGCCCTGCGATATAACCAACTTCTGACTGAGTATCATGATTAAATAACAACATGACATACGTCAATCTCTAATGCACGACTATAACGACTGCTATAACGTGTAAGTTATATAACAGTTATATTGTTGAGTGGGAAATTACAACTAACAGTTATATAATTGGTTATATTACTTGGTGTTTGCTGGGTAATAAATACTTACCCAACAGTTATTTATTAACAATAAAATTCTTCTTATAAAGATAAAAATTCAATCCCGTTTAATTCCTAGTTCTAGTATTCTAGTACTTTTCCGTGATTCCGTTTTCCGAAATTCCGACTGCCATGTGACAGCACCCTAAGATTTAAAAAATTGACCAATCACAGTCGAGTATTCTCTTAATATTTGTCTGTGATTGGTCAATTTCTTAAGTCTTACGTCTTAAGTTTCCTTAAAATCTCATTGTAGACGCCGCTTTACGCGTGGCGGAAGACGACGCGGTAAAGGCTATAGCACACACTTCTCATAAGACAGAACAGTAAGGTTTCGACCAATCGCGTTGCTCAATTTGATTACGGATGGCCAAATTGAGCAACGTGATTGGTCGAAACTTTACTGTTATGTCTTATGGAAAGTGTGTGCTATAGCCTTAAGTCAATACAAAAGTTGGATTGAGTTCAACTTTGGCTGTGTTCTTTTTTTACTGGCAGTGCTACCAAGATGACATTATAATAAAGGTGTCTTTTCATGGTGACACTCGATACTCATTTTCAGCGTCAAAAAGGTAATCACGATTGTCGCCAGCGATAGTTGAAATCCATGAAAAGGAGTAGTCAAATTTTGAACGATTCTAATCTATTTTATAGTGACAATAACCGCAGCGTATACATAAAAATATCAAATATATTAAAAATGATGACAATGTAACTTAAAATAAATAAGATTAAGTAATTTTTTTTTTACAGCAAAAATGATCTTTTTATAAAAAAAACTATTTTGATAATGTTGTATTCTTTTTCCAATACAGAACATTTGTATCAACATTAGAAATGTCGTTTGCGTACAAATATCATACGTGGCTAAAGGAATGCGTGACAATATCATCAATATTATCAATAAAAAAAAGAAGAAAAATAAGCGAAGAAAAATACTTGCAGTACTAGCAATTTATGAATTAAATAAAAAAAAACAGAAAAAGTTTATAGTGATAAACGCTTTTGGATTGAACCAATATTTCAAAAACATCATACTCATGAGTCTAATTTACACCGTTAGTTGGTACGCGCATCAAGTTGGTGTGGATTAAATTTTGATACGTCCCTGTTTACACTGTTCCATCTCACAACAGGTTAGGTTAGGTTTTTAATCCAGATAAAGTTCAATGTTTTTGGTAATGGAGGGATGAGTAATTCTGTGTAAAGTATCAGTCTATTTATAGTAAAAGTAACGAAAAGTAATGGAGAAAAAACGAAGAACAAATTGTAGCGTCATTTACAAGTGTTACTCGAAATTTTAAATATGCAGCAAAAAGCCAGGAAAAAACATCTGAGGAATATGATGAAACGTATGAGAATGAGATTGAGAAAATTATGCCTTCAACAGAGAAATGAATTATTAGTACAATGGAGTCAAATGACCGATCCGATATTACCGATCCTTACTTTAAATTGTATTCAATACTGAAGAAGAATGTGGACCAAAAAGAGGAGCAATGATTTTTGGCAAAGAATCGTAGGAGAGCATTTCACTCTGTCAGAATGGCTGGCCACTTTTCGAATGTCGAAAGAAACTTTCACAATGTTTTGTGACATTATTTGAACCCAAGTCACTTTTCCTAGTATCCAGACAACCTTTATCTGTCAAAAAGCAGGTTGCAATAGCTCTGTATAAATTAGTAAGTTGTGCCGAGTACAGAGTCGTTGGCGATGTGATGGGTGTTCATAAATCGACAGTTCGAAAGTGCTTATGTAGAGTGACCATCACCATTAACAACGTTATGGTACAAGATAACATATTTATGCCTTCTGAAAATGAAGCTCAGTTCATATCGCTCCAATTTAAAAAAAGAAGCTTTATTCCACAATTGATTTGGTGTATTGACGGAACACACATCCCAATTACCGCACCACATGAAGGTTATCGAGACTTTGTGAATAGGAAAGGATGGACATCATATAATATAATGACTGTTGTCGATCACAATGGAAGGTAAGCGTGAAAAGCTGAGCTTGGAAAATACCAAAATCTAAAATTATTAAATTATCTGTTATGTTAGGTTCAGAAATGTTGTAATAAAATATCCTGGGAGCACGATGCTGCCGTATTCAAGGATAGTAGCATATACAAGAATGCACAGACCATTATTCCTCAGGTAAATGTTAAATTCTTTTGTTCGACGTAAATTTGATTGTATTTTTATGTAATACTAATATAATATTATATGAATTTCAGACATCTAAAAACATCGATGGTGTGGATATACATGATTGTAGGTGACTCAGCTTATCCTATATTACCGTGGTTCATCAAAGGCTATTTAGGCACATTATCATCAGAAGAAGAGATTCTTTTAATGTATATTTGAACTCTGCACGAGTTTCAGTGAAATGACATTCGGTCAGTTAAAAGCTAGATGGAGAATTTTATGCAAAAAAATGGATTGTGCTTATACGATTTTGTCCATAAATCATTCTTGCTTGTTGCACAATTTTGTAGAAAGTGACAAAGAACGGTTTTTTATTGAATGGTTAGACGAAGTGTCCAACAGTGATCAGTTGTCATCAACCAATAGCTGTACAAAATCGTGATAAAGATTGCCTACTTGGTGTAGCAGTGAGTAACCACTTAAAACAGTATTTTGCAGCCAGTTATCCTTTGCGGAAAGCTCTCATCCGATAGTGGATAGCAGTGGATATTAATATTATTTCCATGTGTATATTTGAATTAAATAATATAATTTTGACATCTTTTTATATCTTTTATTTCTTTAATTTGTACATCTTTTATATGCAACATTACAGCTTTTATATGTGTACAGGGTGTTGCATCAACATACAGATCATTACGACGGGTTACCTGCCTATAGGCGCGCAAAGCCGATAAAATAGAATAGGCAATTCAGATCATTCGCGCACACAATTATCGACGTATTATATGTATATACTAGCTGTCACGCTATGAACGCATAATAAGCTTAGAAGAAGAAATCACAACGAAAAATATATTTTTTGTAAAAGAATTATAAACTATAGTCGTATAACATTTTATAAAAGTATATGTTTAATATTTATACTTTATATTTTTTTTTCACACACACAGATACACAATACTAAATTTTTTGATAAAACAATACGTCGCACAAAACTTTTTCGCACTCTGCTTAACATATGTGGCGATATTTGCAAAAAAGCAGTTCGTATACGATTAATTAAATCGTCTCTATTTTGTGGTAAAGTTTCATATACCTTGTCTTTTAAATATCTCCACAGAAAAAAATCTAATGGTGTCAGATCCGGAGATCGCGGCGGCCACTCCTGGAAATGACTATATTTGCCAATCCATCTGTTTGGAAATTTCCTGTTTAAGATGGTACGGGCGACAATTGTAGTATGGGCAGGATGGCCATCTTGTTGGAAAATTATGGTTCTCCTCAAAGCTAATGGTACATTTTCCAAAAAATCATCTAATGTATTCTCGATGAAATCGGCATATACTTTTCCATTGATATGCTGATTTTCTGGGAAAAAGAACGGCCCAATAATCATATCGTCCAGAATGCCCGCCCAAACATTAACACTATAATATCCTTAGATATGAGTTGTTTTGCGGCAATGAGGGTTTTCTTCAGCATAATGATGTTTATTATGTCGATTAATGCGTCCGTCACTATGAAATATGCACTATGAAATATGCACTGTCGTCTGTTCATAAATTTTTTTTAAAAATGCATCATTTATCACATTATCAAGGTCAATCGAGAATCTTTAATAATTCTATGCACTTTTGTATATTTTATTTGTAGATCACGTCCAATGGCTCGTGTACTGGTGTGCGGGTTTTCGAGTGCCATCCTCACTGCATCAATTGATTCTTTTGCTCTTGATGGGACTCGCTGTGGCTTCCGTAAAGCATGCAACGTGCCATGTTCGCATAATCTTACACATAAACTATGAAAAAGGCCATGTCCTGGGTATCTCCTCTCTGGGAAACGTTCTGCATATAATGCTGCTGCTCGTCTTTAGTTTTTATGACATTCGCCATAAATTAATAACATATCGACAAGTTCGTGATTTTCGTAGTGCACCATATATGCAGTGGTATAAAAATTTTATTTGTTTAAAAAATTGTCAAATCTGATTGTCAATTGTTGTGTGCAATATCTGAAAATGGAGGGTGTGCAATACGGAAATCAAGAACTTGTCGATATGTTGTTAATTTATGGCGAATGTCATAAAAACCAAAGACGAGCAACAGCATTATATGCAGAACGTTTTCCAGAGAGGAGACACCCAAGACATGGGTTTTTTCATAATTTATGTGAAAGATTATGCGAACATGGCACGTTGCATGCTTCACGGAAGCCACAGTGAGTCTCATCAAGAGCAGCAGAATCAATTGGTGCAGTAAGGATGGCACTCGAAAATAACCCGCACACCAGTACATGAGCCATTGGACATGATCTACAAATAGAACATATAAAAGTGCATAGAATTATTAAAAAAGATCTAGGATGGAAACCATTTAAAAGACATACTAATCAAGGTTTATTTCCTGGTGATTTTGCTCGTCGTGAAACATTCTGCGATTGGATGTTAAACCAGGTAAGTGTATGATTGACTTGAATAAAATGTAATAGACATGCAATGAGTATATTACTTCATTTATATCAATATCTTTCAGATTGACCTTGATAATGTGATAAATGATGCATTTTTTAAAAAAATTATATGGACAGACGAGTGCATATTTCATAGTGACGGACGCATTAATCGACATAATGAACATCATTACGCTGAAGAAAACCCTCATTGCCGCAAAACAATTCATATCCAAGGATATTATAGTGTTAATGTTTGGGCGGGCATTCTGGACGATATGATTATTGGGCCGTTCTTTTTCCCAGAAAATCAGCATATCAATGGAGAAGTATATGCCGATTTCATCGAGAATACATTAGATGATTTTTTGGAAAATGTACCATTAGCTTTGAGGAGAACCATAATTTTCCAACAAGATGGTCATCCTGCCCATACTGCAATTGTCGCCCGTACCATCTTAAACAGAAAATTTCCAAACAGATGGATTGGCAAATATAGTCATTTCCAGGAGTGGCCGCCGCGATCTCCGGATCTGACACCATTAGATTTTTTTCTGTGGGGATATTTAAAAGACAAGGTATATGAAACTTTACCACAAAATAGAGACGATTTAATTAATCGTATACAAACTGCTTTTTTGCAAATATCGCCACATATGTTAAGCAGAGTGAGTTTTGTGCGACGTATTGTTTTATGCGAAGAGCACAATGGAGGTTACTTCGAACACCTACTGTAAATAAATTATATTAAAATAAAAGTTTCAATTTTATAATATAATATTATACAAGTGTTTTTTCCTTTTAAATAAATAAAAGTTAATTAGTCATTACTTAATATTTAACTAACAATTATTAATATTATAATATATATATATATATATATATATATATATATATAATGTAACATTAAGTTTGTTGTAAAATATATAACTTAATATAATTCTCAACATTATATTTCAATAATCCTTATTTATATATGATTACAATAATATTATATTATTATTATTAAAATATTAATAATATTAAAATATTATAACATTATAATATTATTAATATTATTTTTAATATAATATTATTGTAATTATATATAGATAAGGATTATTGAAATATAATGTTAAGAATTATATTATGTTAAGTTATATATTTTACAATAAAATTAATTCACGACAAATCTTATCAAAAAATTTAGTATTGTGTATGTGTGTCTGTGTGTGTGTGAAAAAAAATATAAAGTATAAATATTAAACATACACTTTTATAAAATGTTATACGACTATAGTTTATAATTCTTTTACAAAAAATATATTTTTCGTTGTGATTTTTTCTTCTAATAGCTTATTACGCGTTCATAGCGTGACAGCTAGTATATATAATACGTCGATAATTGCGTGCGCGAATGGACTGAATTGCCTATTCTATTTTATCGGCTTTGCGCGCCTATGGGCAGGTAACCCGTCGTAATGATCTGTATGTTGATGCAACACCCTGTACAGTACACCACATGTTTCATTAGAAAATATTCGAAGTTCGTCTCATAAACTTACCACTAATTCACAGTCATAGTAATTATCATAATTAATATCGCATTTTGAGATCAATGGAAAAATATTTATATTTCCCGCATATATTCCCGAATTATTAATTTAATTAATGATTCATATATGTCTATAAATATCTATAAATATCTATAAATAAAAACGACTTTTTAAGAACTTGTAAAAAATAAAGTAACTTTTTGGAAACTATATCACAAGTTAATAAACAACTTATAATTATTAATTCATCTTGTACCTATAAATTAATAAAAAAGTAAATTATAATGAAGCAACTTTTTGAATGAAATTAACATAGTAATAAAGGTACTTTTTAAACAAAATTAACATTTTACGTAGGAACACGGCACTACAACTTCTAACTAAAAATAATCTGTAATATATTTTAAATATTTAGAACTGCAAACAAAGTCTTTATATTATTTAAATTTGGTTATTGTGTTTCATAATAAAAGTTTTGTACTTTCGTATTTGGTTTCTTGCCTTTTTAAATAGGAGATTGAATGGTTGTAAAGATGGAAGGAGGTTTTGTATAATTCAACTGTAAAAAAGTAAATTTTTAATTTAATTTTTATCGACATTAAACTATCTCATTAATTTTTATCTGGTGAAATCAAAAGTCTCATTAAGGCCCGGTTCCACAACTCGAGTTAATCCGAGTTTAATACGTTAAACTGGATCCTGATTGGTCCATTCGCTACTTAAACTCGGATTAACTGGATTGTGAAACTGGGCCTAAATAAGTAGTGGCTTTTCTTTTTAATGACTTTTGAATAAGTTTACATATTTATACGATTTTTTCTTGAGTAATTTTTTTATAAAGAGCTTTTTATAATAAGTACTTAAATAGTAATTTATTTTAATTATAAATTATTTATTTACTAATACAATTAATAACTACTCAATATTTAATAATATAATAAATAAAATATTTGTAATCAAAATAAAATTAATAAATGAATTTACCGGAAGAGTGCATATAATTTGACTACGTTCGAAATGGCCACGGATAAATTTGACCACGTTCGAAACGGCCACACGTTTGTAATAGCCACGTTTGGAATAGCCACGTTCAAAACGGCCACGTTCGAAATGGCCACGGAAAATATTGAATAAAGTTCGATTTGATCACATTCGTAACGGCCACGTTCGTAATGGCCACCCGTTCGTAATGGCCACGTTCGAAACGGTCACATTTCGGATTTCAACGGTTTC